CTGTCGCTCTCTCACCCAACCTACCCTTCTTCTCCATCATCGTCTTGGCCACCCCAACTTCCCTCTCCTTCGCAGCATGGTTCATTCGAAGCTACTTCATGATCTTCCCTCCTCTCTCCCGCCCCTTCCTCCCTCTCCCGCCCCTCTATGCACTCCCTGTGTTCAAGCAAAGCTCTCTCAATCTCCTCATCCTTCTTCCCCTTCTGCCTCCCCTCAGCCACTTGATCTCGTGCATATGGACCTTTGGGGTCCCTCCCCTATTGCCTCTCGCCAAGGTCATCGTTACTTTCTTCTTCTCGTCGATGACCATTCTCGCTTTGCCACTGTCTATCCCCTTCGTGCCAAATCTGACGCCCCTGCCCTCATCATTCGTTGGGCTGAACAGGCTCGCCTTCGCTTCGGGCGTCCTGTCGCGCGTTTCCACTCCGACGGTGGCGGCGAGTTCTTTAACCACTCTCTCTCCTCTTACTGCTCCTCTCACGGCATTCGCCAAACCTCAACCCTCCCGCACTCTCCTGAACAGAATGACGTTGCCGAACGTCGCAATCGCACTCTCATGGAGATCACTCGATGTCTCCTCACCCATGCTTCCGCTCCCCGCTCTCTTTGGAGCTATGCTCTTGTTCACGCAACTCTTCTTTCCAACCTTCGCCCTCATCCCCTTCGCCCCACCATTACCCCCTTTCAGCTCTGGACCGGCCGCCAGCCCTCTGCTCGCCCCCTTCGGGTGTGGGGCTGTGTCGCTCATGTCCTCGTCAATCCGGCTGATCGGGCACGTCAGGGTGGGAAACTCGCTCCTAAAACGCAGCTCTGTGCATTCGTTGGCATCAACTCTGATTGTCCTGGCTATCTTTTCTATGCTCCCTCCTCTCAGCAGCTCATTCGCAGCCAGGATGTCATCTTTGACGAGACTCGCTCTCCTTTCCTCACTCCCCCTCCCACCCCTCCTACTCCTCTCCATTGGTCTGACTTTGATCCGTGTCCCTCTGCTACTCCCTCCACACCTCCACTTCCCCCCGCCCCTGCTCCTCCTTCTCCCCCCTCTGCCCCTCCTTCCGCCGTCACCTCTGGCAACTCTCCCCCGGCCTCTTCCTCTTCAACTCCCATGCCCTCTCCATCGCCTCCTCCTGCTGCTTCTCTTCCCTCTGTTCCCATTCCTCCACCCTCTCCGCGCCTCACTCGCTCCATGACCCGCGCAATGTCCAATTTTCAACACTCCGCTCTTTTCACTCGTCCGTCTTCCTCTCAGGACCCCCATCTCCTTGAAGATCGGTTCGAGGAACTCTTCTCTGTTCACCCTGTCTCCCCTCTTCTCTGTGTCACCATCGGCGACTTCTGCAATTCACCCACTCTTCTTTCTGCTGACACTGCCGCCATTCCCATCCCTCAGTCCTATTCCGAGGCCGTTTCTAGCTTTCATGCCACTGAATGGATGACTGCCATCATTGCTGAGTGCGAGGCGTTCACTCGTACCCGTTCCTATATCGACTCTGTTCCCCCCCCTGGCGCCACCATTGTCAAGGGAAAATGGGTCTGTCGTGTCAAGCAGTTGCCTGGGGAGCTTCCTCTCTTCAAAGCCCGCTATTACGCCAAAGGCTTTACTCAGCGTGAAGGCATTGACTACTTTGCCACTTACTCTCCCACTGCTCGTCTCCCCACCCTTCGCCTCCTTCTTGACCTAGGTGCTCGCTGGGATTGGGAGATCCATTCCATGGATGTTTCCAATGCTCTCTTTCAGGGCGAGCTTCATGAGCGCATTTTCCTTGAGCGCCCCCCCGGTTTTCCCCGCCCCTTTCCTCCAGGCACTGTTTGGGAGCTGAAGCGCCCTGTGTATGGCCTAAAGCAGGCGCCCCGCGAGTGGCATGCCAAGCTTGTCAAACATTATATATGTTGGGTTTGTTAGGCTACAGTGGGTTAGCCTATATGGGGTACACAATTCTAGGGTTTGCTATTTGTACTGATTTCTCTGTTAGTTCAATCATTCCAGTCTCTTCTTGTTGACATGGTTTCAGAGCAGGTCCTTCGCTAGGACCGTTCTTAGGGCCCACCACTGACTACCTACCTACCTACCTATCTACTGTCGGAGCGTCGCGTTAGCGCCTCCCCCTCAGCGCCCTCGTGCGCCCTCGTTTACGGCCCCTTAAGGCCCCGTCGACCCCGCGCGCCGCCCCTTAGTGACTCGCGCGTCGCGCCTTAGAGGCCCCGTCGACCCGTGCGCGCCCCGCTTAAGGCCCCGTTTGGCCCCGTCGACCCGCCCGCGGCCCGCTTAGTGGCCCCGTTTGGCCCCGTCGACCCGCCCGCACCCCGCTTAGAGGCCCCGTTTGGCCCCGTCGACCCGCGCGCGCCCCGCTTACGGCCCCGTTTGGCCCCGTCGACCCCGCGCGCGCCCCGCTTAGTGGCCCCGTTTGGCCCCGTCGACCCGCGCGCGCCCCGCTTACGGCCCCGTTTGGCCCCGTCGACCCGCACGCGCCCCGCTTACGGCCCCGCTTGACCCGTCGACCCCGCGCGCGCCCCGCTTAGAGGCCCCGTTTGGCCCCGTCGACCTGCTCGCGCCCCGCTTACGGCCCCGTTTGGCCCCGTCGACCCGCGCGCGCCCCGCTTACGGCCCCGCTTGACCCGTCGACCCCGCGCGCGCCCCGCTTAGAGGCCCCGTCGACCCTACCCGCCGCCCCTACCCGCACCGCACGCGACAGCCGCGGCCCCGCCAGCAACAGGCCGCCCGAACCGAGCCGCCCAGTCCGAGCCGAGCCGAGCAGCCAGAACCGAGCCGCGCCGCCCGCACTGAGCAACTTCTCTGGACCGAGCCGCCCTACCTGCGTCGCGCTGCCCACTGCGTTTAGGACTCACTTACTGCTACTGCTACGGCTACTCCTACTGCTTCTATGGCTACCCCGCCTGTACTAGCTTTCGATGCTGAGGGCCGCCCAGTGAAGTTTGATACTTGGCTTGATGACCTGCACCTCTTCCTACAGCTCACTGCCAAGGAGGATATCTCACTGTATGACCACGCCCTCGGCCATGCTCCTGCCCCTGCTACTGATGCTGACAGCACTACCCGCTCACAGTGGCAGACTCGTGACGCCCACGCTCGCTTTGCCATCCGCAACTCCCTGCCGTTAGATGAGCGCGAGCACTTCGGCCAGTGCAAGACTGCTAGAGACCTCTACACCGCTGTAGTTGCCCGTTACTCCTCACCCGCTTCTGCTACGCTAGGCCGCCTCACTCTTCCCTACCTGTTCCCCGACCTAGCCTCCTTTCACACTGTCGCAGACCTCATCACCCACCTTAAGACTAGTGAGGCCCGCTTTCGCGCTGCTATGCCTGCCGAGTTTCTCACTAGCAACCCCCCCCCGCTCTGGATCACTCTCTACCACATCGTCACCCGCCTCCCTGACTCTCTGCGCGCAGTCAGGGACCACTTCCTCTCTCGCTCCCCCACTGAGCTCACTGTTTCCCTCCTCGAGAAGGAACTGCTTGCAGCTGAGGCGAGCATCGTCGCTGTAGGCACCTCTCGTGGCGACCCCCGCACCCCGTTCTTCGAGGGGTGTTCCCCTTCCCCCCTCCTCCCCTCTGTCGCCTCTGCTGCTGCTGTCGACCTCCTTGGTGCTGAGAAGGTCGGGACCGCGTCTGCTTCGAGCGGGCGCCGCAGGGGCAAAGGGGGCAGGGGCGGGGGTGGCGGCGGAGGAGGTGGGGGTGGAGGCGGTGGGAGTGGAGGCGCGGCTGAGGAGGCTAGTGGCGGTAGTGGGGGAGGCGACAGCAGCGGCGGGAGTGGTGGCAGGGGCGGAGGCGGCAGCGGAGGCGGAGGTGGTCGTGGTGGCGGCAGGGGTGGAGGTGGCCGGGGCGGAGGCGGAGGGGGTGGTGGTCGTGGCGGCACCGGCGGAGGGCAGAGTCAGCAGCCAGCCCCGACGCTTCAGGCCGCCCGTGAGTGGTATGCGCAGCGTGGCTTTACCTGCACGTACGTCATTCGCACAGGTGACCGCAGCGGCCAGCAGTGTGGGAGGCCGCACCCCACGCAGCGCTGCTTCGCGCGCCTTACCGACGCGTGGCGCACTCAGTTTCCTGCTGCCACTGAGCTGCCGCGCTGGGCTGATCTGGAAAAGAGGGGTGTTGATATTTGGGCTTTAGACTTTGATGCTATTCTCACTGCCATGTATGCGATGTCTATTAGTGGAGAGGGTGCTCAGTACTTGCGTGTTCCGCCCGACCCGGGCATTCAGGCCAGTCCGGCTGCCGCTCTAGGTGCTAGTGCGTCCGCTCCCGCAGGTCCCAGTGAGGCTGCTGCCCTAGGTACTAGTGCGTCTGTGCCCCCTGGTACTGAGTCGACTGCAGCACTGCACACCTTCACACTGGACTCAGGTGCTTCTCGCTCTTTCTTTCGTGACCGCACTGTCCTTGAGCCCCTCGCTCGGCCAGTTGCTGTCTCCCTTGCTGACCCCTCTGGGGGTCCGGTCATTGCGACCTCCTCCACTGTCCTTCCTTGTCCGGCGGTCCCGTCCGGCACGCTGTCAGGTCTCTACCTCCCCTCGTTCTCTACGAACTTGGTGGCAGGTAGTGCGCTCCAGGACGGGGGTGTTCACCAGTTCACCCCTGCCTACGAGCGCGTGACACACTGCACATGTGCTCGGACGGGTCGCCACCTGGCTACCTTCACTCGGGAGCCGGGGTCGGACCTTTACACACTGACCACTGTGTCCCCTCAGGTAGCTGCGTCTGCGTCTGCGTCTGCGTCTGCGTCTGCGCCAGGTCAGCTGTCAGCCCCCTGCTCGTGTCGCTCTCTGGCACATGAGACTGTCCTTTGGCACCACCGCCTTGGTCACCCGTCTGTGCAGCGCCTTCGGGCCATGCACCAGCGGGACCTTGTTGCTGGTCTTCCCAGGGTGCTCCCTCCCCTTCCCGACTCGCCTGCTCCTCCCTGTATTCCCTGTGTTGAGGGACGGCAGCGCGCCGCTCCTCACTCCTCCTCCTTTCCCCCGACGACTGCCCCCTTGCAGACACTCCACATGGACGTGTGGGGCCCAGCCCGCGTCCGTGGTCAGGGTCAGGAGAGGTACTTCCTGATTGTTGTTGACGACTTCTCGCGCTACACCACGGTCTTCCCCTTGCGCGCCAAGGGTGACGTCCCTGATATCTTGATCCCTTGGATCCGCAGATCTCGTCTCCAGCTCCGTGAGCGTTTCCGCTCCGACTTCCCTGTCCTGCGTCTGCACTCTGACAGAGGTGGGGAGTTCTCCTCTGGCCTATTGGAGGCCTTCTGTCAGCAGGAGGGCATTGCGCAGTCGTACACGCTTCCGGACTCGCCACAGCAGAATGGGGTTGCTGAGCGCCGCATTGGTCTGGTCATGGAGGTCGCTCGTACCTCCTTGAGCCATGCGGCTGCCCCCCATTTTCTGTGGCCGTTTGCAGTCCGATACGCTGCGCATCAGCTCAACCTCTGGCCCCGTGTCTCTTTGCCCGAGACTTCTCCGACACTGCGTTGGACGGGAGAGGCTGGCGATGCGTCGCGTTTTCGGGTCTGGGGATCCCGAGCTTTTGTCCGCGACACGTCCGCGGACAAGCTCTCCCGTCGCGCTGTCCCCTGCGTCTTCCTTGGCTTTGTCCCGGACGCCCCTGGTTGGCAGTTCTACCACCCCACCTCGCGGCGTGTCCTGGCCTCTCAGGACGTCACTTTTGACGAGTCCGTCCCCTACTACCGCCTCTTCCCCTACCGCACTGCCCCGCTCCCCCCCCCCGCCTCTCTTCCTCGCTCCAGGTGCTGAGGTACCAGACCCCCTCCCCCCTCAGGGTGCCGCTCCCTCAGGTGTGTCCCAGGTAGACCCGGGTGAGCCTGTCGAGGTAGCTGTTGACTCTCGTCCTGCTCGGGGTGCTGAGCCTGGGGGTGCTGCGTCTGGGGGTGCTGAGCCTGGGGGTGCTGCGTCTGGGGGTGCTGAGCCTGGGAGTGCTGAGTCTGGGGGTGCGGAGCCTGGGGGTGCTGAGCCAGGAGGTGCGGAGCCTGGAGGTGCTGAGCCTGGGGGTGCTGGGTCTGGGGGTGCTGCGTCTGGGGGTGCTGAGCCTGAGCGTGCTACACCTGGAGGAGCCCTCTCCTCCCAGCAGCTGCAGGAGAGGTACCTCGAGTACTGCCGCCTCCGGAGAGGTGCTGCTGGAGCTCGTCCCGGTACTTCCCCTCCTCCCCGGGAGCTCCCCCCCATTCAGCAGATCCGCGAGTGGTACACACGGCGCTGCAGTCTTCGGAGTGGTGCTCCTGGTGCTGCGGACCCTGGGGGTGGCGCTGCTGCTGGTGCTGAGGACCCGGACGGTGGAGCTGCTGCTGGTGCTGAGGACCCGGACGGTGGAGCTGCTGCTGGTGCTGAGGACCCGGACGTTGGGGCTGCTGCTGGTGCTGCGGACCCGCCTGGTGGAGCTGCTGCTGGTGCTGAGGACTCGGACGTTGGAGCTGCTGCTGGAGCTGAGGACCCGGGCGGTGGCGCTGCTGCTGGTACTGAGGACTCGGACGGTGGAGCTGCTGCTGGACCTGAGGACCCGAGCGGTGGCGCTGCTGCTGCTTCTGAGGACCCGGGAGTTGGAGCTACTACTGGTGCTGAGGACCCGGCCGGTGGAGCTGCTGCTGGTGCTGTGGACCCGGCCGCTGGAGTCTCCTCTGCTTCTGGAGACGCTGCGCGACCGCGACCGTACTTCGTACCGCTCCTTCAGCAGGTTCTTGGACAGGCTCCTCCTCCTTGTCCTCCTCCCTCCGTAGAGTGTCCTCTGCCTGTTCAGTCGCAGTCACAGTTACCGCCTACCTCGCCTCTCCCTGCTCCCTCTCCTTACACTGGTCCCACAGGAAGCTCGCCTCCACTCTTCATTCTCTTGGTTTCTCCACCTCTACCTCTGACCCCAGTCTTTTCATTCGCACTTCCCCTCACAGGCTTTACATTCTTGCCTATGTGGACGACTTGGTGCTGCTTGCTGAGGATTCTGTCGATATGACTTCTGTCAAGCAGGCCCTGCAGGCACGTCTTCTATGCAAGGACCTCGGCGAGCTTCGCCACTACCTCGGCATGGAGATTCGTCGCGATCGTGCTGCCCGCACCATCTCTCTCTCTCTCAGTCGTTCTACGTCCACTCTATCCTCCAGCGGTTTGAAATGTCACAGGCCAAACCGGTCTCCACCCCTCTTCCGTTTAACCATCAACTCACTGCTCCTGCCATCCCTGCTCCCTCCTCAGACTTGCGACCCTATCTAGAGCTCGTTGGGTCACTCATGTATGCAATGATGTGCACTCGTCCCGATCTCGCTTATCCCCTCAGTGTTCTCTCTCGTTTTGTTGGCCTTGGTCGCCACACTGACGTGCACTGGGCGGCTGCCAAGCGTGTTCTCCGCTATCTCCGCGCTACCTCTGATCTTGCACTCACTCTTGGTGGCTCCTCTCCCCCTGTTCTTTCTGGTTACAGTGATTCTTCCTACGCTGATTCTCGCCCTGATCGCCGCTCCTCCCAGGGTTATGGTTTCACTCTTGGCAGTGGCCTCATCAGCTGGCGCTCTACTCGTTCATCCTCTGTCTGTCTTTCCACCTGCGAGGCTGAGTTGTACGCAGGCACATTGGCAGCACAGGAGGCTCGCTGGCTCTCCTTTCTCCTTGATGAACTTGGTCACTCTCAGCAGTCTGTGACGCTCTCCTGTGACAGTGCGAGCATGATTCATCTTACTGAGAATCCTGTTTATCACGCCCGCACCAAACACATCGAGGTCCGCTATTACTTTGTGCGCGAGCTGGTGCAGTCTGGTTTCCTCTGCCTTCGCAAGGTGGCGGCCGATGCCAACCTTGCTGACATTTTCACCAAGGCCCTTCTTCGTGCGCCGCACCGTTTTTACGTCCGTGCCCTTGGTCTCACTCGTCTCGCCACTTCTGGGGGTGTTCCGGTTTGCTAGGTTTTTCGTTCTCGAGCTTCACCTAGCCTGGGGGTGTGTTGGAGCAGGCTAGTGTTCACTCTACCGTTTATTTTGGCCTTATATTATTTTCTGGCCACTTTTAGACTTAGTTTCATTTCTGGTTCATCTTAGGTTCACTTTGCAGTTTGCATCTGCATTGAACACGCCTTAGGTCTAGTTGGGGTTTCCTAACCCTAGCTTTCAAATGTCTCTCGACACTTTTCTAGTTTCAATCTTTTTCCTCTCGTCACTTAACTTCATAGCCATGGCTGCCATAAACCTAATATTAACATACCCCCATCTGGTTCTAACACTATGCGATGGTCGTGTGCTCGCTGAGATGGTAGTCCCTCCACTAAGTCATCGGGGAAAATCCCGGGGTACCATTTCAGTAGCTCCCCTAGCTCAGGCGGTACGGCTTCCAACAGTTTCGAAAAATCGCTCGGTTCTTCTGTTCCTTCTGCTACCGTGATATCAAGTGCGTACATATTGGCTCCTGCGGTGTTAGCCCGTTTCATCGTGTTGGCGTTGACGTAGACCGTTGAAGACTCAGGCGACTGCCAGCGAGGTAGTGCGACGCAGTAAAATGTTGTGCCTATCCAGTGTCGTCGCGAGCATTTTCTGTGTAAACCCGAAGTTTCCCCCGCAGCGAACTTTCACTCTCTCCACCTTCTCCCATGTAGCCAGCGGTGTGCCATCAACTAAGCATGCGTCAATCTCCGGTAAGCAGCAGTTAAGTGTCAATTGCAGTTTCCCTGCAGTTGCAGTATTAATTAAGTTGTGGCCTGCGCCTCCTTCAATAACAATCTTCACTTCTACCCCCTGTATTTTCTGTCAATATGTCGCTCTACCCTCCTTATTCAGCCGAGCCCGATCGATTGCGTGAATAGGAACTGTCACTCGGTGAGGGTCAATGAGGTTGGGCGAGGAGTGAGTCTCGTACTGGCGTTTCCCTGCCTCCCAGACTCCCTCCCCTGCTTTGCTCCACGGCGCCTTAGCTCCTCTGGGCATTCGCTCTTGCAAGGGCCCGTCCTATTGCACGCGAAGCAGCGCCCCTTGAACAGTGCAGAAACTGCATTCGTTGCAACGACGTGTACAGTCGCGTGCTTGATCGGTCACCGAGGGCGATGTCCGTAATAGGACCCCGATCTCAGATGGCAAAAAATGTCGTTTTTTTCCTGCTAATGCCTGGATATCGTTGAAGTTCAAGATCCCGCGAAGAAGGATTTTTTGCGAGATTTCCAGCTTCAGACTGCTGATGTAGCGATCTGCATGTAGCTGACCTGTTAACACAGCGCGAGAAAACCGCTGATGTAATGTTGAACCGATCCGAGCTGCTGCCAAGTGCGCAACTTCTGGCGTGCCGAAACCGAAGCCGTAATCGGTTCGAAGCTCGCCCGAATCCCTGCGCACCACACGTCCCACGGTATTGAAGAACGAACCGAAGCTGTATTGGGTGGTTTTGAAGAACGAACTCCAGGTAACAGCTGGGCCTGCGGGCCTTCCCTCTTGCGACAGCAGCTCGTAGGCGCTTGGCAACGTGACGATGACTCGCCACCAGTCCATGGCGGGGCCCCGCAGCAATGATACGGCGTACGGAATCTTTTCTGGATCCGACGTGACGTGATTCGCGTAAAAAAATACGTTCATCGTAAAAATCTATGATTGAACCGTCAGACCTCTACGCCGGCTAGAATTGAAGCAGGGCGGACGCTGCGGCTTGAGTGGCATCGGCTCACCAATGTCGTCGTTTCTGGCAGGTGCGACGATGTTGACGTGACAACGAGCTTCACGCGGTGCTGTCCTGGTTCTTTCCATGCCTGGCAAAGATAGGGTGGCGCCATCGCTGATTGCGGTGAGCGCTGTCCCACGCTGTCGTGCTGTGACGGTGGTCCTGATGAGATGATAATCGGCTCATCCATCTGTGCAGGTGCATTTGCTGGTGCTGGTGTTGGTGCGTTGGCCGTAGATAGCTGCCGTGCGGAGTCGCGTTCCGCCGTGAGTGTTGCGATTTCGAGCGTCGACTCCTCGAGTTGGCGCAAAAGTTCACGCAATCGAATGCAGACATGGCTGGGGTGTCGGGCTAGCTCAGCGAGAGCCTCAGTTTTGGCTAAGTGTGCTTACAAGAGAGCACACGAGCAGCGAGAATTGCACTATCGAAGCAAAACAGTACATCGAGCGAAAGGAATGAGGGAAGATTATATAGCAAATCTAGCATGGTAACGGTAATGTGAGAAATTAGGGTACGCAATAGGCCTAGCGCCGAGGTTGGGAAATGTCGAGGCGGAGGTCCGGAGCGCAGGTTACCAACCGAACAGTGTAGTTGGGTCGCGTCGTGAACAGTAGCGGGAACAGTGATCGATGCGAGCGTCGCGAGGGGTAACGATGCACTGTTGGGTACTATTGGCAGGAACAATTGTGTACGCGGTAGGCAGGGGCGCGGAGTAATCCTTACAGTAGCACGTTTATTTGATGTTTGGGGTTCAAATAGGTTGCAGGAATAACACACACTTTCATCATGTTAGAAGAATAATCAGATCACACTGAGGGGGTAAATCAAAAGTGCCTATTTTCGTATCAAATATAAAGAAGCACCAAACGTACTTTCCCGTTCGTTCTTGAGAGTAATGAATAATCTCTTAGGGCGGGTCAAATAATGCACGTATTTGTAGAGAACCCTACCCAACCAGCTTTTGCCTTTATTTGTCCGCTCTCGATCAAGTCTAAAACTTTTTCAAACGCATTCGGATGTACCCTTTTGACCCACCCTTACGGCAACTGTAGCGACTCATTTGTTCCAATTCCACCGCCATATGCGGTAGCAATGAAGCTCCTGGGTTCGCGGTGAGGAAGAAAGATGAAAATTTGAGCTGGCCTTTTCCATCGATTTTGAGCCCTTGATCCTCCCTCTCGACTTTTCAACGCGTCACAATTCTTCACACCGGGCAGCTCGAAAGCTCCATTGTCACAATCTTCAGCAGTCCGACGCAGAGTCAACGCCGCACAGGTTCTAACACCGGGCAGCTTGCAAATTGCATTATTACACTTGAATTATCACCGAGACTGCATAACTCACATCCAGCAGCCCAACTAGAGTCGCTCCTGGCGAATACTCCCGCGCATTTCACGGCAGCAGGCAGAAAGTGACGCCCTCGGCGTCGCACTCTCGTTTTTCTTGGTCCATGAAAATGGACTCATCCTAACTATAAATCCTGCTGCTAATATGCTCTAAGCCATCAGACTCAATTCATATTTCTTTTCTCAGTTATTGTAACAGTGCAGCAGCCGAATGCTGCCAACTGCAATGCAGGTGGGCGGAAGTCACTCGTAACAGTGCAGCAACACACTTCCAAGAACAGTGCAGGTGGGCGGAAGTCAAGCGCCACCTCACCTACAGTTCGGATTGGTCAAACGCCTCAACCTGCAGCTGGGCGACCAGATTCCGACACGCAGCCCAAGTCAATCCCACGCACGAAAATTACGAAACGCAGGACACCAAAGTTCCGACCGCTCGCCGACTTCGCCAACAACACCGACGAAATTACAGCCCCGTAACCAAGCTCGCCGGCCAATCCCGTACCGCAATAATTCTCTGAATTTCACGGCAGGTTCATTTCAAAGGGTTGGGTTACCATTGAGAAATTCAGAGAAAGTCGCGACTTGGGAGTGCGACTCGATGTTTGAATGTGCTCTATAAAATTGTACTCTGAAATTTGTGAAGTCATAATGCAATTTCCAGAAAATTCCAGAGAGCACTCTATACTCATTCTCCAAGCCTACTAAGGCTACTATCTCCCTGCCAGCAACGTTTCACTGGTAATCAGAGCCTGGTTTGTTATTTCGCACGCTCCTGCCATATTCTAGACCCTATGGCTGGGCCGTCGGATATGACGCCGGAACTCTGGAACGAGTTTGTTGCTAATATGCGCCGAGAGATTGAACGCGAGGTGCGTGACCGGATT